GGACTTTTATAATAGAAGTTTCACTGTAGAAGCATGGATTTATCCTTCAACTATTTCTACTGGTAATCCGTATGTTGATATGATTATCTATGCTCAGACAGGTGCTGCTCAAATGTATCAAATTATGTGGGTGATGTTAAGAAATGGAATAGGTGATGGTGCTTTCTACGGTGATGATGTACAAGGATCAACAATATTTCAAGCGAAACAATGGCAACATATAGCATTTACATATAATTACACGATGACAACACAAGTTATATATATTAATGGTGTTGCAGGTAAACGACTAGAGATTCTTTTTCTTTTAGATTACATTACAACAATGCATTCTTTCTTTTTTAGATGCTATAAATTCTCAAGCACCACCTTGTTTAAGCACAGGTGGGATACAGACAATTGGTGTATACTCGACTTATGACGGTGGTTTTTATAATGGATATATTGATCAATTGAAGATTTCATTCGATAGAGCAAAATCAGCAGTTGAAATCTTAAATGATGCAACATTAGTTGCATATTACTCAATGGATGATCCGAATAACCCTGGTGGGGATAGTGGTCCTAATCAAATGACCGGCGTCGCCGTTGAACCGATTGGTAGTGATCAAGGACGAGTTGGACAGTCACTTTTATTATATACGAACTCAAGTTATATTCAGATAACAGGCCTAGTTTTATTGGGACAATCATACAGTCCTTTTTCATTCGCAGTATGGATACGACCACTAATATCCGTTACAAATGGTGGTACAATTCTACACGTTTCTGAATATTCCAATGGTCAGGGTTGGTGCGTTCCATTTATTGGTTTAAGTCACTCGGGAGAGATAGTCGTACAAAATTATGGTAGTCTTGGTGGTGTAAATGCAATTACTGGGCCTGTTTTGATGGTTGGTCAGTGGGTCCATATTGTAGAAACTTATAGCAACCTTAATGGATTACGTTTATACGTAAATGGTACCCTCTCCGGACAAGTTAATCCATTTACCTATGCAGCACATAATGGACCGGTGTTCGTTACTCTAGGACAGTCTCTGGTTGGAGCTATTTCTTGTTCTAACAATAAAGTTTACATGAATTATTATCAAGGAGATATTGATGAATTATATATTTACAGTAGAGAACTATCGCAAGCAGATATTACTACATTAGCAAATCCGTAGCATGAAACTTATCTTCAAAAATTTATGTACAACAAGCAAGGGGGAAAACAGACTTTAGTAATGCGTACTTCACTTATACTGCACCTGTACTTCACTTATACTTCACTTATACTGCACCTGCACTTCACTAATACTTCATTTATACTGCACCTGTACTTCAAAAACATTTTGAAGTAAATAAAGTCGCACTTTTTTTCCTCCTTTACCACAAATAACATTGCTTTGTGCATAAAGAACGTTAAATATTGTTTATTTTTGAAAACATAGATAAATAAATAAATAAAACGATATCGCATAAAGTCAACTGAACAAAAGGCAAAGAATACGAGTACTGATGATGATAAAGAAATAGAATTCTTTAATTGATTACAATTAGATCAGTATTGTTTGATTTTTTTTCTTTAATTTATCACCAATAAAAAATATATTAAACAATTAGCAACAGTTTCCATAAAATAAATGTAAAAACTTGTTTTAAACAATATAAAGTCGATACTTGTGCGTATATAATTGAACTAACTGATAAATAAGATTGCAATTGGTAATAATCTGATGAATAATCACGTAGTCTTTTATGTATATATGAACAAAATCAATAATTTTAAACGTATTACTAACAAAACTTATACTTATTTGTTAAAGGCGACGAAGAAAAAATTACTAAACATCTTGTTGGAAGTTACTTTTGCACGTGGAGAAAATTAGGAGAAGCAATACTCATAATTGGTTCTTGTCATATTGTATATAATTCTTTATATATACCTGTATATCAGATGGAACAGCTTGACGAAACTGCATTTGATCCTCTAATGGGTAGATCATGAATAATGATTTCAAAAAAGCGATTCTTTCATCGTCTTAATTACTGACAATACCAAAGCGTATTCGACATGATAATTAAATATAAAGGATATTAAATCTTTTTCAGGCATCTTTCGTCAAACATTATAACTTATTAGTTCGAGAAATCAAATGAAAGTTGTAGAATAGATCTATGGTTGTATAAGTATGATGTGAAGTTCTTGTTGCGAAATACTCATAAAAATAAATTAAATCTAATATCTTTGTCGTAGTTTCAATTAGATAATAAATCAAATATCGAGCTACAAAATAAAATATAACACTCAATAAGATTTAAAATAATTAAAAACCCAGCAAAATCATATATGAGAAAACACGTGCTCAATACGTTCTTTAACTTTATAGAACAGTTTATTATTCTTTCATTATATTGCCTTCATCTTTTCGTGTATTTACACTTCAAAAACACAACAATATTCTTTTCTTCTTCTATAATATATTCAAAGCAAAGCTATTTATTATTATCAGTTCATTTTATATCAAATAATAACAATATTTTTCAAAAGCCTATGCATAGTTTGTGATACAATTTAACTATTAAAAAATTGCGATAATTTGTGTGAGTATAATTAATAATCGATAATATTATATAATGAGTATAATTAAATAAAGAATAAAACGAGAGTTTAATTTTGTGAAATAAATATTGCATGCTTT